GGAACAACTTTGGAGGAGACCCATAGAGTACCAAGGAAGAACAGAACCTCGATAAAAAAATTGAACCCAAGAGACGCATGCAAGAGACAAACCTCAACCATGTAGGGATTTAAACCCCACCTTTAAACCCAGTAGTATGAAACGACCATACATGGAAAAAAAGAGAATCTGTAAACCTATTCATCTTTAATTCAAGATACGATAATCCTGCTTTTCATTCTCCATTTTAGTTTAGACTTGTAAGCATAAGGACATTACAACCAAATAGGATTGTTCGGATCCATACTACACTGTATAAGGAAGTAGATATGCCTTCAAGTATCAATTGTATTGGTTAACAAGGCCTTTTCTTAAAGGTTTAGTATTGGTGTATGTTTACAAAGTTTAAGTATCTACTGTGTCTGTCAGATGTAAACTAACAATGAGAAATATAATGTGTTCCTGGAGTTTTATTAGTTTATGAAACAGAATACATGGATACAGAGATTTATTTACAGAAGGAAGGTTTGCTCTGTATATTAAAAATGTATGTAAAGGTTCAGGTTTAGATTTGTTTTTAACTTAAGGTTCAGGATTAGATCCGGTCGTATCTTAAGGTTCAGGATTAGATCCGCTCGTATCTTAAGGTTCAGGATTAGATCCGCTCGTATCTTAAGTTCTGAAGTTCAGATTTGGGTCTATAGTTACATGTATATTTTAGGTTTTAAGATCTATATGATTCAGTTGCTAGATCAGGATTATATTCAGCCTTTTCTCCAGGTTTAGGTTCAGAGCATTCTCTGAATTGAGGTCTGATACAGGTTCGATCAGGTTCAGGTTCAGATCTAGGTTCAGGTTCTCACCAGCTGGAGTCTACACAAATAGAAACCAGACAAAGCATCCTAATTTTGTTTTTGAACCCTGAATTTTGAAAAATGATCCTTCTAATGGTTGTGTGGGATTGAGGGTTGAGGATAGAAGAGCGTGAAACCATGAGTAAGTTCAGACTCAAGGAGACAATTGAATGTATCAATCTTATAAAAAGTTTCAAATTCTGAATGGGGGACTGAGCTAATTCTGGTTGGGGTAGAGTAAAAATGACAATAGGTTTGGTTTCTAGAATGGATGACAATTGACAATAGAATTATTATTCAGAAGTATTCCTTAGACCTCTGTACTGTCACCCTTAAGAATAAATTATGTCATATATCCAAAACTGTGTACCCCACTCCCCCCCCAAACCAATCTTAATGAAGGGAGAAAATTTCCTAAAAATTCTCCATGTCATACAATAATACTACAGCGAGGCTATTTGGCTGATACAGAGCAGATTTGGAAGGAAATGTGTGGTTTGTATCGTCCCCTGATCAAGGTGCCCTGAGGTATATCCTGAGATACGAGAGTACCAAGAAATCCGTTACAGCTTGAAAATCAATTAAGGAAGGTGTAAGAAGGAAGCGAGGGTTGGGGCTAGTTTTCTCAAAAGGGGTTGAATCTGGAGATGCAATGTAAGGTTGAGTGGATAAAGATTTCGGTTAGAGGAAGATTGGTGGAATTAGGATGAGAGGAAGGATTGGTGGAATTAAGATGAGATCATGAGAGGAAGGATCGGTAGGATCAGGATGAGAGAAAGGATTGGTAGGATCAGGATGAGAGGAAGGATTGGTTGAATCAGGATGATAGGAAGGATATGTTGAATCAGGATCAGAGGAAGGATCGGTTGACTCAGGATGAGAAAAGGAGGTTGGGTTTGAGTTCCTTCTCCAGTTGGTGTTCAACACACAAACAATAAATTAAGGTGTCTCAAGAGTCTAAAATTTGTAATTCCAGCCCTCCTCCCTTTTCAATTTATACAAAGACAGCTACCATTGTTCTCAGCAGGACCTGACACTGGGGACACTGGACATCTGAATACAGAGGTATAGAGGTGTTCACTTGGGGGCGGGTTCAATATTCATCCTTCTCCAATATCCATGTACAGGACAAACCTTTCTCTTTCTCCCCGATACTCCTGGTTATGCACCCTTCTCTTTATAGTGAATGAAAAGCAAAGAAATAAAGTAAAATCAGAGAGTGTCTTTTATTAGAATAAAGATTAGGTGTAAAAAGATAGATAGATAGAATTAAAAAGTCTAAACGGAATTTTGCCATGATGTCTTTATAATTGATTTGTAAAGTCATGCTGAAGAGTCATGTAGAGTCGTAGATCACACAGCTCTCCCTACCCTCTCCTGCTAGAGATAAAACCTGGGCTGCCAATATCTCATTCATGCCACACATTTATCCTTCTCAGCTGGTCTGAACCTGGTCTCTCTTGTGACAGATATATGCTGGAAAAGGTTAGATTAGTTTATTCCAGGTTTAGATTTATTCCTTGGTTTAGAAATATATTGGTTAAAGTTTAGGCGTTTGCCTTAAACCCAACCCTCCCACTCCATCCCATCCCTCTTCTAATCCCCCCTAGAAAAA